TCCTCAGCATGCAGTTCACTACTGCCCTGCACCGGAGCCGGTAGAGTGAAGTAATGGGCATTTGCTGTGAAATGGGAATCTAAATTTCCATATTTCAGCTTTTAAAAATGAATGCAAGGATGCAGTTTCGAATTGATACTCAGTTATGTTTGTAGCCCAGGAGAGCTATGGATTATGAAATATGTGTACTGTGGAGCTATGAATTATGAAATATGTGTACTGTAAATCTATATGCATTTTCATATATTAAGTGTATACAGCCTATATCTATTCTATGGGCTGTGCAGATAGCTCCGCAGGTAAAGGCTTGCGCCACCAAGCCAGACTTTCTGAGTTTGGTCCCTAAGACCCACACAGTGGAAGGAGGAAACCAACTGCTGTGAGTTGTCCTCTGAATTATATGTGCATGTCATGGTACACAGGTGCCAACACACACATAAGTAAATGTAATTTGAATTTTTAATCTATATGTTTCCATATATGTGAGTTAAATAGCCCTAGGCACTGAGAAAAAAAAACTGTTAGTGTTAAATACAGTTTTTATTCTATGTTTAAAGAGAAATAAGATGCCGGGCCATGGTGGTGCACACCTTTAATACTAGCACTTGGAAAGCAGAGGCAGATGGATCTTTGTGAGTCTGGAACCAGCCTGGTCTACGGAGTGAGTTCCAGGACAGGCTTCAAAACTACACAGAGAAACCCAGTCTCAAAAACACATATTTAAAAAAGAGGAATAAGAAATGTATCTTTGTAGTGAAAAAGTTAGAAACTCAAGGAAGTATCCTTGTGAACTGGGGGCAGAGATTCTAATTTGCTTTGCCGTCTCCATTTTCTTAATGCTGTGATAGGTTCATATTCAAGAATTAATTGACATAGATTGACCACTGATGAGAAGATAAGAAAAGCAAAGGACACTGAGTTCATCAGCTAAAGGAGAATCTGGGGCCAGAACATTCTGCAGGTTTTCTTTTATATTTAATAAGCAAAGCTTTTATTTGGATGATCAGTTGATCAGGCTGTAAAATCCACATCTCTGGAAACCAGGTCAGTCTGCTCTTACAGGCTAAGGAAGTGAGGCAGAAATGCACGTGACTAGCTTGCTGATAAACCAGCAGCAGGAGGAAGATGCTGGGGCTAAAGAGAAGAGCTGGAAGGGACTGTGGGTCTCATTAGGTCTTGCCATTGCTAACCATGTGGCTAATCTATAGCCTTTGAGCTTCCAGGTCCTTTACAGCATCAGTAGCTGTAGGTCCAAAATGACAGGTTGGTGGGTGGAAAGTTTGCTCTCTCCAGGTTAAAATGAAGCTATATTAGCCCTAAGCTTGTTTTCAAAAGCAAGCAAGCTTAGAGAGGGCAGGCCCACCCAGCATTCAGGGTTTCAAGATATAAAAGAAGCCAAGCTTCCACGCCCAGCGTAAGGAGCAAGGCAGTCCAAGAGCAGCAGCTTTTCTGAATCTGGGAGAGCAATGTGTGCTGTTCACTTCTGTCACTAACATCAGCTGAGAATTGGGAAGCTGTGTGCTCATAAAAATGAGGTCACATTGCTGGGCCCTCAGGGCCCTCCTGGCCACATGACCTGAGAGATGTGTTAGACAAAAGCATTTCCTAGGAGAATTCTCCAGAATATTTTGGCCAATGGAAAGGAACCTTTGGAGGAGCCTGATCTCATTGGAGACAAGTGAACATATGTGTGCACATTCATATCTGAATGAATACTCCCACAGATGCTGTGGTATCCTGGAAACCGAGGATGGGAGAGCACAGAGCTTCACAAATACTCTGTTAGGATCTCTAGTTTATTTTCAGGGTTCCCTCATCACCATGCTGGGAGGGAAGCCCAGGAGAGGCTCACCCACACAACAAGACTCATCAGTGAGGATTTAGGGTGGCCGAAACCCAGAGTCTGCAGAAACCTCAGCACTCAGAACCCCAAAATAACACTGGTCTTTTTGTGTGCAGTGATACCAGGGAAATCTCAGCCACTCTGTACAAGTCCACAGAGACACCTGGAAGCCACTTCTAGTACCCAGCATGTGTCCCCCTTGTCTAAAACATGGACATTAAGCCAGTTCATGATCCCCTCTGATTTCAGTGATTGCTAACACTTTGGCTCTCACCTGCACAGGCTTGTAGTCCCCTAACAGAAGGAAGTTCCTGGATAGAAACAGGGAGAACAATTAGGAGGCTATTGCAAGGAAGACTTCCATCAGTTGGTGGCAGCAGAGGTAATAATGAGAAGTGGCTAGGTTCTGGTTATATTTCAAGAATGGAACCAACGAGATTTCAAGACAGATTGGACGTGGGAGGTAAGCAAGAGTCAGGAATGACTCCGAGGTTTTTGATCCAAGCAAAGAGGAAGATGGAGTTCTCATTCTGAAAGGGAGAAGGATGGTGGAGAAACAACTTATGGGAGAAGACAAGGAGTTAAATTCTGAATGGACTGTGATTTAAAAACTAAAAAAGAGAGAGAGCCAGGTTTGGTGGTACACACCTTTGATCCCAGGCAGAGGCAAAGGCAGGTAGATCTCTGTGAGTTCAATGCCAGCCTGGAACACATAGCAAGTTCCAGAACAGTCAGGAATACACAGTGAGACCCTATCTCAAGGAGGGGGAAAGAGAATATTTATGCTTCAAATTCCTCAAAGAAGAACTAATTCGAATGATGAGACAAAGGATTCAGAGAAACTGAGACAAAATAAAATGAAGTCATCATGGTTAAAGGATGAGGAGCTTAGGAAGTGGAAAGGTTGCATTGATGTCTCTGGATGGTCCTCTAAAGAGGCCTAGGTGGGATGCAGTGGTGGGTGACACGGATGTGAAGTGTTTAGAGGTCACACTAGTATTAGTGTGAGGTGTGCACAATTAGAAATGATTAGCTCAAAACCTGGCTATGGGCAAAATAGCAAACAGGTCATATCTGTGGCAGCACACCATCTTATAATAAATCTGGAGTCTTGTGGGCCATAGGTTTATAATCCTGTTGTAACACAGATCACAAACAGTGGATTAAATGAGAAACACAACAAATTCTCGGAATTGAAAACCTTGTTTATCTTACTTCAGAGCTGTGAATGACTCCTATATGTGTTTTCAGGTGTGATGGTGCTCAATAATAGGGGCTGAGGAGATGACTCAGTGATTAAGACATGCACTACTCACTGGAGTTCCAGAGGTCCCAGGTTCAACTCCCAGCACCCACATGGTTCACAATCATCTGTAACTCCAGTTCCAGGGAATCTAATGCCCGTTCCTGTGCTCTGAAGGCACAGACATACAACTGGTGCACAGACACACATACAGGCAAAACACTCATACACATAAATGTAAACAGAACAAAATTACTCAGTGCTAGCCTTTACATCAGCTCATGGAGCGTCTTATAAAATATGCTCTGTGGAACTTTAAGGAAAGTTTCCTTCTAGCCTAGCCATAGCGTGCCAGGATATGCTCCAACCCTCCCCAATCCTGAACCATGTTTCCAAGTTTGGTAACTCAAAGCCCCCTAGCTCAGAGGCCAATGGTTGAGCTGGTGAATGTTACAAGCATCTGAGTCCATCAGCCTACAAGAGTGACAACGCAGATTAAATTAGTTCTGCAGATGCTTACTTACATGACCTGAGACTACTGGAGAAAAGAATAATTGAGAAAGTCCGTGCTTCACACTTCCAGTCAATAAATGCAGAAGAGGAGGAAAAAACAAAAAAGCAGAGAGAGGTTGTTATATAATCTTAACCCCCCCCATCCCACACCTTGTTGCAGACTGCTAGTCACCTAGTCTAGACTTTTAACTCTTCATATGTGGAACACAAATCATGCCATTATAATGAAGTATATAATATTCTGCGTGTTGTAGATGAGTGAAAATGTTCAGCCTTGTAGACTTCATCATTTAGTCCAATAGAAAAAAATAAAATGACACGGTGGTTGAATAACTCCCAATGTGGCAAATGTGGTCTCCCAGACAAGTCATTCACCTACTGAATTGGAGCTGATTGACATGTAAGTGGATTCACAGGTGTTCACTCATCCAAACAAAACAGGTTAATCATCTCCTATTCATTTTCTTCTTGTATGAGATATCGCCAGTGAAACTTCTCAAGAAAAATACCAAAAACTACCCGTCTAGGTCCATGGCACATTTATTTGAACAATGGGTTTACACTAGTGCTTGAGACATGAACCCTAGAGAATGCCTGTTTCATCAAAAACAACTAGACTGGATTCCTCTTCATTAAATCAGAAAGGGGGAGAATTTCAAATCAGGGTTCATGCAATGCTGGATCGTGCAAATGAGACCAAATTAGGGTGTTCAAATAAAGTAGATGCACAGAAGAGCAGGGACACAAAGTTGCCCATCGGTGAAGTAGACAAAACAGATGTTCGTCTCTGGGATGCTGGCAGGCATGCCATGAAGAGATCACCATCATGCTCATGGCTTATGTGTAGGAATTGTGAGAGGCAAATGGAAAAGGACCTCAAATCCTATTTTTACAGAAGCTCAGTGATCCACAGAATAAGCTGGATTTCCCCTCAGATCAACCGATTCACACCCCGGATTTTTCCTTACATCAACCGATTCACACCCCAGATTTCCCCTTAAATCAACCGATTCACACCCCAGATTTCCCCTTACATCAACTGATTCACACCCCAGATTTCCCCTTACATCAACTGATTCACACCCCAGATTCCGCCTTACATCAACTGATTCACACCCTGGACCTCCGCTGGTGCCTAGAGTTTGTCTGGAACCTCAGTAACCCACATTCCCCTGTAGTCTTCTGCTTCCCACTGGCTTCATTTTGCCCCCCTCCTAAAAAAGACACTGCCTCAGTCCTCTGCTTTTGTCCTCTGCTTCCTCTCTTTTTCATCAAGTAAGAAAAGAAAAGCAATGTGTATGTCTAATAGCTGGTGTGTGTGAAGAACCCCATGCCTCCTGGCATGTCTTCGACACTGGTGCAATGGGTCATAGCTATGTCACTCTTCCTATTTCTGCCTAGGATTGTGAAGATGTCCAGCCCCAATCTGAACATTGTGACCTTACTGGGCAGTTGTCTGACTTACAGCAGTGCTTACCTTTTTGGGGTTCAAGATGCCTTTGTGGGAAATTCCATGGAGGGGCTCATTCAGGTAGGTGACATTTGGAAATTTTGTTTTGGACACTGTGTTGAACTTTGATAATGTTTCATGCTCTGGCTCCTCCTATGAGTGGTAGTTATGTAATTGTGGGCACTCAGCGAGGCCCACGTTCTACCCCATGTCCTCTGTGGGCCTGAGACACTGAAGGTGGATGAGGGTTCCACTTGTAACTCTTGCTTCTGTCCTCCCCTCCCCCACCCAGATGAGACTGTCCATGCTGTGCATTGGGACGTCCCTTGTGTTTGGCCCTATCCTGGGGAAGAGCTGGCGACTCTACAAGGTGTTTACCCAGAGGGTCCCAGACAAGAGAGTGGTGAGTTGGCAGCCAGTACCCAATGCTGGGCTGGCTGCAGAAGGAGCTCCATGGTGGCTTCGGGCTGTGGGAGTTAGTACAAATCTCTAGGATGACTATAGGATGGCTGGAATTCTTGCTTCTCATTTCAATCCTTAGAGTCACATGGCTCCATAAAGCCCCAGACTTCTAGGACTGCGAGTGAGAACTAGATCTTTGAACAGGGGCTGCTTTAAGTACACGCACCCTGGGCTCCATGAGAACCTGTGAGCTGGCCAACACCTCCCACAGTGGGAGTGAAAACAGGATGCCCAGAGAGACTGGCTCTTGGCACAGACAGGAGCTGCCATCGACAGACAATTGTGGACAAGCTATAGCAAGAAGTCGAATTATTCCTCTCCCTAGAGCAAGCAGTTCTCTGCACTGAGAAGGGCATAGCTAAAGCCATGAGCAAGAAAAGGGACTCAGCACATAGAATTGACTGTGCAAGCCACACAGCAGCCAGGTCACCTGTGTGTCCCTGACACCCAGCATTTATTATACCCATACTCCTCCATTTTATCAGATTCCCTGATATAGCTGCCCAGACCTCAGAGCCAGATCAGGGGCCTCTTCGGCAAGAGAATCCCCAGACCTCATATATAATTTTGTCAGATTACATCTCTGAAATTATGGGATTTTAAAAACTAAACATTATTGAGTCATAGTGGATACTTAGCAAAAGTTCAGCTGTGAGTAACCATACAGATGCCGAAAGTTGCCTAAAAGGACAGAATTCATCCCTCTTGATACCGTTTTCAAAAATAGCTTTTTTTTTTTTTTTGAGGCATAATTGACACACAAGAAATGCAGTACTAAAAGTGTGATATGATGCTTACCTGGCAGGGTAGACACCATGAGCAGGCAGGTAGTTTTCCCAGAGAGAGGCTCACCCATTGCACTTGAGGTGTGCTGTCCCCTGAGATTTCTGTACACACACGAAACTGCATAATTTGTGGTAGTGAGGGACGGTATTAGTTCTTTCTCCTGAATAAAAAGTGTGATGCTGTGTCTGAACCCATGGAACATGTGATCTAGCAGACTCCACGGTCCCCAGATATTTAACATCCACTGCCCATTGTCACATTGTCCCTCTCTACCCCAAGGACACCAGGCATTAAAGATTAGCTTTCACTTTCCAGAGTTTCACATAAATGGATCATGGCAGAGACAGAGCTCAGCAGTTAATGGATTGGGTTCCCAGCGCCCAGGTTGGGCGTACTGTACATGGGTGCACACGTGCACATAATTTCAAACTAAAATTAAAGCTTAAAAAACAAATTTTAGAGATGTTCATTTTATTTTATGTGTATGAGTGTTTTGCCTACACATATGTGTGTGCATCGTGTGTGTGCCTGTGACCAAGAAAGTAAGAAGAGGGCATCAGATCCCCCAGAACTGGAGTTACAGATGGCTGTGAGCCACCACGTGTGTGCTGGGAAGCAAATCAGACCTTCTGCAAAAAGCAGCCAGCACTCTTAACCACTGAGCCATCTCTCCTAAAAACAAAAAGGTCATCCTTAGCCACATAGTGAGGACACACGAAACTCTATCTCAAAAATAAGCATATAAATAAATAAATGAAAATAAAATTTTGCTGCTGGTGACATAGTTCAGGGAAGAATGTCTGATATGTACTGTGCAGTGGGTACTCTTGTTTAGTCTGGTTTGTTTTATTATTTTGAATATAGTTACTCATCCATGCTGCTGTGTACATCAGTAGTTTGTTCACCCATTGATGGAGTTTGGATTGTTTCCAGTTTGGGACTATCACTGATAAAGATGGTTTGAGCATTCGTGTACATGTCTCTGCATAGATACATGTTTCCATTTCTCTTTGTTGAAAACTTGAGAGTAGAGTGGTTGGCTCATATGGTTAAGTGTGCATTTTAACTTTGTTTTGATTTTTGTTTTTGAGGCAAGGTCTCACTAGGCAGCTGTATCTTGCCTGGAACACACTATGTGTTATCAGGTTGGCCTTGAATTCAAGAAATCCACCAGCCTCTGCTTCCTAAGTGCTAGAATTACAGATGTATCCCCACATCCAATGATAGTTTATTCTTTGTGGATTATGCTTTGGATGTTAAATATAAGAAATTGCCAACATTTTTTTCTCCTGGATTTGTGTGTGTGTATGTGTGTGTGTGTGTGTGTGTGTGTGTGTGTGTGTGTCAGAATGGGTACACTTCCCACAGCGTGTGTATGGTTCTCTGCTTTGACCGTTTGGGACCTTGGGGTCAGCTCAGGTCATCAGGCTCATTGGCAAGAAGTTTTACCTGATGAGCCTCTCACCAGCTCTGCATAAAAATCTCATCGAGATTATGACTGAAAATGTATTGAATCTAATATCAAACTACTGAGAATTGATTCCTTAACAATGTTGGTTTTAGCTCATGACTACTGTACATCTCTCCACTTATTCAGGCTTTTAATTAATTTATCTCAGCAACATTGTGTTTTTCTTAGTATAGATCTTTCACGTATTTTTACCAGATTCATGACTCTTTACGTTGTTATACTTTGTATGTTTTATTATTTGTAAACTATACCTTTACTTTGATTTTTGCTCACATACAGACACATAGGTGGGTGTTGGAGCTGATCTTTATGTTTCAACCTTGCTAACTTACCTAATAGTTCTAGCCGCTTTGTTTTTTTAAGATGGTCTCACAATATAGCCCAGGTTGACCTATGTAGTCTAGGCTGGCCTCAGATTCATGGTTATCCTCCTGTCTCCGCTTCCAAAATGCCAGGACTACAGCTGTTCTAGGGTGTGCAGATTTTCTAGCAACTTTTTAATAAACTCCATTAGATTCTCTGTATTGATGTCATGTCACCTGTGAATAAAGAGCTCCTTTTTGATAGAACTGGTCAAAACAATAGTATAACTTCAAATTGGGGTGTCGAGAGCAAAATAGCCTTCAATTATTGTTACTTTGTGTGGTGTGTGTGTGTGTGTGTGTGTGTTGACCATATGTATGTTTGTTCACTGTGTGCATGCAGTGCTCAAGGAGGCCAGAAGAGGGCATCAGATCCCCCTAGAACTGGAGTTAAAGATGCCTGTGAACCACCATACTAATTCAGGTGCTCTTAATGAATGAGCCCTTTCCACTCCCTTTCAATTATTCCTGACTTATGGGGAAGGCATCCAGCCGTTCCATGCTAAACACAAATTCAGTGTGGTGGCCTATCCCAGTAATCCTAGCACTCGGGAAGCAGAGACAGGAATTTGATGAGTTTGAGACCAGCCAGAGCAAGACCCTGTCTCGACGGTTGTAAAGCTGTGTTATACTCTTAGTATTTGGTAGAGTTCTTCTTTATAAAAATTGTTTGGGGTTGTGCACTTATGATTTTAGCGGATGTTGTTTTGTAGTTTTTTGTTTCTATACTACATTTATTTACCTAGTTTGGGTATTGGGGTGGCCTGATCTATTGCGTGTGGGCAGAGAGCTGGCAGTGGGACCAGGACCTCTCCCTGGTGCTAGAGCTGGCTTGTTGGAGCCCATTCCTTATGGTGGGATGGCATGCTCAGCCTTAACTCAGGAAGGAGGGGCTTGGTCCTGTCCCAACTTAATGTGCCAGATTTGTCTATTCCCCATAGGAGCCTTTACCTGTTGGGAGGAGTGAATTGGGGGTGGACTGTGAGGGGAGGCAAAGGTGACAGGAGGAGGGGTGGGAGACTTTAGTTGGAAAGTAAATGAAATTTTTAAAAAAAACGACTCTGTCTCAAAACAAACAACAAAAATAATTCTGTACATGTATGAAAATGCCTTAATGAATTGCATCATCCAGCATAATTAATGTATACTAATGAAAACATTTTAAAGACCAAACAAAAACATGGATGTTGGCTGCAGTTTCATAGAATCTGGTTTGTTTTTTGTGTTGTTTTTCCAGACAGGGTTTCTCTGTGTAGCTTTGGAGCCTGTCCTGGAACTCACTCTCTAGACCAGGCTGGTCTTGAACTCTAAGAGATCCATCTGCCTCTGTCCCCCCCCCCAACCCCACACCCCACCCCCAGTGCTGGGATTAAAGGCATGCACCACCACTGTCCGGTGAATGTGTTTTTCTTTTTCAGTATCGGAAAACTCTTCCCCCTCCCCCTCTTAGGTTTCTAAGAATTTTTATCAATATTGACGTTGGGTTTTGTCTGACAAATTTCCATGTCCATTGAAATTATAATATTGTTTTCTTGTTTGGTCTGCTCATAGGGTGTTTTGTGTTAAATGAAGAAAGGATGTCTAAACAAACTTGCATCCCTGGGATAAATTAAGTAGGGCATGCTGTATTATACTCTTTTCACTTCTGGTAGAATTCCTCTTTATAAACAATTTTGTTTGGATTTGTGCTCTTACACTTTTGGTGGCTATCTCCTTGTTTCTTTTTCAATAGTACATTTATTTATCTAGTTTGGGTATGGGGGTAATCCTGACCTTGTAAGAATGAGTTGGGAACGATCCCTTCCCCTTCAGTTTCTAGAGTGTTGTGTATACGATAGGAAAATTACTATGACCTCTGGCTGTCCTAGGATAGACACTATGCACCGTCTACTTTCATTTCTTCCCATTCCAATGCTATTGCTTTCATTTTTTCATGTGCTGTCAGCCCCACTCACTTGTCGTAACTTCTATTAAACAATTTTATTTTAAAGGTATTTAGTTAAAATAAATTACATCTTTTCCTATGTAGTTGACATTTTTTGTTTGTTTGTTGTTTGAGACGAGGTCTCACTATGTAGCCCTGACTGGCCTGCCACTCACAGAGATCTACTCACAGAGATCTGGCTCCCAAGTGCAGGAATTAATGAAGTGTGTGACCACACTCGGCCTTGTGTCCCCATTTTCATTTGGTATTATTTCCCTTTGATCTGATGGATTAAGAATGTTCTAGTGTGAGGGTTCAGTGCTGAACTCTTTTCAGCTTCATAGAGATGAAAACATCTTTTTTTTGACAGTGTTTCCAAAAGACACATTGCCGTTTGTTTCTTGTGTGGTGTTGGGGGTAGAGTACAGAGCCTTGCTCATGCTTGTCAGTGGACTTACCACTGGCTGTATCCCGGTCTTTATTTTCTTTTTGTTTCTGTACTTATATGATGATGGCTGTCCCCACTGTCTTCTCATTGGCCTTATATGATGAGGTCTGACATTATTTTGATCTTTGCTTCTTGGTACTGAGGGCATCTTTTTCCTGATTGCTAGCAGTGGTTTCTCCTGTGAGCAATTTGATTAAGCAAAGTTTGTCTTGCTCTTGCGAACAGTATAAGTGGCTTGCTTCTTTCCATGGGTGGTTGTCGAGAATGTGGATCCACCGCACCTGTCACCCTGTTCAAACTCAACTCCAAAAGGATCAAAGGCTTCAATATAAGACCCAATACCCTGAACCTGGTAGGGAAGAAAGTGGGACTAGGTTTGAACTCATTGGCACAGAAAAGGCTTTCCCAACAGGACATTGATAGCACAGGCATTAGGACCACCAATTAGAAAATGGGACTCATGAAGCTAAAAGCTTCTGTACAGAAAGAACACCATCATTTGGACAAAGCAGAAACCTACAGAATGCAAAACTCTTTGCTAACTAGATAGTAAGCTAGAGTATATAAAGAACTAAAAAAGAACTGCATATCAAAACAGTCTTATACATCTTCTATTAAATTGTCATAATCAATTTAAGATTTATTGTCACAAGAAGAGCATTCTCTTCATACTAGTCAAATTATAGAGGGAAAAATTCCTCCATCTTTCAATCCCATCTCTGAGTTATGGCAAAGTCTGGTAGTAGCTCTCCTCATTTCTCTGTGTGCTCATAGAGATACATCTAGAAATTAAAGTGAACTTCCTTTACAAGACCCCTGGACATCAGAACATTAAACAAGCTGGGCGGTAGTGGCACACACCTTTAATCCCAGCACTTGGGAAGTAAAGGCAGGTGGATCTCTGTGAGTTCAAGACCAGCCTGGTCTACAGAGTGAGTTCCAGGACAGCCAAGGCTAGACAGAGAAACCCTGTCTTGAAAACAAAAACAAAATGTTAAACAAATGGAAAGGTTTAATGGTAACAATAATAATAATAACTGAACAGACTTTCAGGGAAGGCATTCAGCCTTGCAGTCCTCATCGGTGATGTCGTCGATGGCTGCGTTTGAGGCTTCCACTCTCACTGTATCACTGTAGACCACAGCTCAGAGCACAGGGTACACTCTAGCGCCTGTGTTAAATACAGCCAGCCAGCAAGGTGACATCTTGACCTTGACTCTCTTGCAGATTATCAAAGACCTGCAGTTGCTGGGGTTGGTGGCAGCCCTGGTGGTGGCTGATGTAATCCTGCTTGTGACGTGGGTGCTGACTGATCCCATCCAGTGTCTCCAGATCCTTGGTGTCAGCATGAAGGTGAGGGCCTCTCTCCGGACAATCTAATTCCTGATTGGGCTGGCTTCTGTGACGGTCATTATCTCATCAGCAGTTGTCCTGCAAAGAAGTCAGGAGCGGTGGCTGCCCTGAGTACCTTGTCCCTTGTCCACAGGTTGCGCTGCCACCTTGTGTCCCCGATCTTCTCATGGGGGTCCTCCCAGACGTCGGTGCACGGGAAATCTGCCTGGCAGCTCTCTCTCTGCTTGCACAGAGACACTGATGAGAACTTCTAGGTCTAGGGAGTTGCCTTCCCTTCCCTACTGGGAGATAGCGGTGAAGTTTTGAGGTTGTCGTAATCATTAGACTTCAGTTCAAATCACAACCTGCATCAGCCGTGCCTCTGGGGTAAGGCTGCATAAACACAAGTCAGTCACCTTTCCAGATAGAGGGGTAAGGAGGAGGTAGCATTAGGAGAAATAATTCAGGTAAAGGGGCTGCAGAATACGGTGGAATCAATGTTGGAAGGTCAGTGAATAAGGAGTTAGCTGTTTGCGAATAATGGTCCATGATGTGAAACACTCTTGTAATTTTGCTGAGGTGATGTTTGGAGCCACTGAAGCAGCAAAGCAAGTGCCCTGGAGTCAGTGCCAAAGTGTCCCAGCATCTCTAGCCATCCACCTCTTTCTCCCTTCCCTCCTGCTCAGGCACTCTGGTTCGGGTTCTAACAGAACCTAAATTGTTCTACATTTTTCCATATTGAGAGGGAACATTCTATGCTACGAAAGAATTCACAGAGCTCTGCTGTGTGGTCCCAGGAATTTGAATGCCCTTGGTTATGACATTTGTGTCCCTCACAGGTGACGGGGAGAGATGTGTCCTGCTCTTTGACCAACACACACTTCTGTGCTTCGAGGTACTCTGACGTCTGGATTGCTCTGGTTTGGGGATGCAAGGTCGGTACCACACCTCCACAGGTTACTGTCTGTCTCCAGCAAAGTAGATTTGGAAAGAGAATTAGGGGATTCATGAGATTAATCATGGGTAGTGGTGACAGAGAATGGTGAGCTCAGGGCTCATGCATGGGAGTCCCAAAGCTGTGAACCTTTCATTTCTCCACTCTTTATATTTGGACTGGGAATTCAGTTTCTCTGGTATTAGGGTTTGTTTTTCTCTTGTGGGGGTGGGGGGAGTTCTGGGAAGGGATTTTGTTTATTGTTTGTTTGTTAAGGCTTTTCCTATGTAGCCCTCATTGGCTGTGTAAGCCAGGCTGGCCTTGAACTCATAATGTGAGCCATTGTAACTGGCTTAGGAGTATTTTTTTTAAAGGAAGAATCCAGGAAGAGAACATCCATCATCTGCTTGTATCCCAGAAATGGTTAGGAACCGAGCCTCTAAATGGTACAGAATGGCACTGAACTCTGCTGAACCCCAACCTCACCTAGCCTCTGGGAGCCATAACCCCCTCAAGTAGGGACAATGATGACAGCCCTTTTACAGTTGCTCAGGATTCACACACGAGAGTTCCCAGCCACCCCTGCCCTTAACGAGTGCTCCAGATTCTTCTGTCTTACTATTCTTGTTCTTCCTCTGGCGCTGGACAGTTTTGAAGCACTTAGGTCACCTCAGTTCCGGGATCCTGGAGCTTCCCCTCCCCTCCCCTCCCCACACCCTGCCTTCGTACATTTCCCCCATTGCGTTCTGGACATTCCCATCACACTTCTCTTCACTACAGAAGTGTTCTATAGGATATGGAGGACATCAGAAAACTGCCTGAGCCCACCCAATGTGGGACCCCGCCAGCAAGGAGCTCTTGAGTAGGGTTGAGCCCCACCCCCATGCTTGCTGACAAAAGGTAGATGACAACCAAGGGTCGGTGTGACACCCTCAAACTATTATCCCTTTTAGCAAGAATTTTAGTGGAATTAAACTGTTTTATTAACATCATATTTAACATTTCAGAATCATGGAGCTACTTTTATTCACCTTTGGTAAAACTAACAATGATGTAACTGTTGACTGCTACTCAATGGTAGCGGATGCCCAGGAGTCAGGCCCCACTGGCCCCTTCTTGTGTCCATCTGCTCAGTGAAGATCCGACAGTGACTGGGTTTGACCCTGCACCCCCATTTGGGACATCAGGTGTTAAGAGCACCTTTGCCTTGCGGATTCCTTCCCCTCTAGTATAGCCAAAGCTTCCAAAGCCACCTCTAGATCCATGACTGCAGGTGGAGTTGGCCAGGTCATGTGGTCTCGGAGTCAACGAGACACCTGGCCTAACTTTTCTTATTCTCCCGAATCCTCTGGCTCTTGGCCTCACCTCACACCCAATGGCATCTACACATTCCCATTACAGACAGCACGTGGCTGGCTCTGCTCTCCCTACCAGCCAAGTCCTTGACTTCGTGCTACACATTCTAGTTATGAACAGGGCATGGCTTCCTCCCCTCCCGTCCTCTCCCCTCCCCTCCCCTCCTGTCCTCTCCCCTCCCCTCCTGTCCTCTCCCCTCCCCTCCCATCCTCTCCCCTCCCCTCCTGTCCTCTCCCCTCCCCTCCCGTCCTCTCCCCTCCCCTCCTGTCCTCTCCCCTCCCCTCCTGTCCTCTCCCCTCCCCTCCCGTCCTCTCCCCTCCCCTCCTGTCCTCTCCCCTCCCCTTCTCCCTTCCCCTCCCCTCCTCTCCCCTCCCCTCTCCTCCTCTCTTCTCCTCCCCTCCTCTCCTCTCCTCTGCTCTCCCCCCTCCCCTCCTCTCCTCTCCTCTCCTCTCCCTACCAGCCAAGCCCTCCACTCTGCTATTGTTTGCTATTGTTGCCCTCATGTTGTTATTGCTGCTGTTGTTTTGGGTCAGTCTCACCGTGTGGCCCAAACTAGCCTCACAGCAATCCTTCTGCCTCAGCCTCACCAGTGCTGGGATGCCTGGTCACCTATGATGCCCGTCGGTGAATATCCTTGACAGCAATGGTTTGCAGCATAGTACTCTGAGCTGCCCAGAAAAGACTAGTGTGTGCATAAAGTGTACACTGAGTGTTGCCTATGAAAGCTTTGCAATCTGAATGTGTGTGGCTGCCTCTGGGAAAAACAGCACTGTTGGGGACCGCGCTATTTTCTCCCTAGTAGAGGGAGGACAGGTTTATGTTTGTGAAGAGAAGGAAAGAGCTGGGCCCCAGCTCCTTGTGGTAGAGGAGGGGAGCGTGACAAAGCAGTTCAGATATAGCTCCTGATGCCTGTGCCTCTCCTCATCCTTGCTGGGGTCCCAGCCTGCCTTTGTTCTCTCCTTTTTCCATCTTTCATCTTCCAAGAACCCCCGCTGCACAGAGCCACTGGCAGCCTACGGCGTTCCTTTGTGTTGAACAGAAAACAGCCTTCTTCCAGGCAGATGCAGCCTTGCAGGTGCAGAGCCTGGCAAGCAGATGGTGCCTTTGAGCTCCCTGGGAAAACAAATAATAACCCCTTCCCTCTGGTACTGCGTGCTACTGCAGCACAGAACAGGACAAGCGGACCGTAGGTCCTTTCAGTTCCCATGTGCCACTCAGCCTCATTCACTGCCAAGCCATAACTGACACGTAGCATGCCCCCTACACACACACATACACCAGCAGGAGCTGGCTCGCCTGCCTTCCTAGTGCCCACTGCCCCGTCTGTGGAACTCCTATCCACCTACACATGGCTCTGTGCCTTCTCCCAGAAGAATGTTGCGTTCTTCGATGACTTGTTTGCCAGCCTCTGATAAACTCATTCTCAGTGAAAGACAGGAAGTGACATTCAGAACCCATAGCTATGACTTATCTCCTGGTTCCTTGTGTTGTATCTTAGTGGAAGCTCGCAGCAAATCTTTAGGCAGATATTATTAGCCCAGCATTACCAATGAGGACGCTGTGCCCAACCCTGCTGCTCTGACCTGTGGTCCCCTTCTCTCTGCCTCTGGTCCCTGCTCCCCCTGCAGGGGCTGCTGCTGCTGTATGGTGCTTATCTGGCTGGCCTGACCAACCAGGTCAGCTCTCCTCCCGTGAACCAGTCCTTTACCATCATGGTCGGAGTCAGCCTCCTGCTACTCAGCGCTGGGCTAATTTTCGTGCTCACCAGGTACTTGCACTCCTGGTCCAATCTAGTCTTTGGATTCACATCTGGAGGGATCTTCGTTTGCACCACTACCGTGAACTGCTGTGTGTTCCTTCCCCAGGTATGCTCGGAGTGCTCTATGGGGTTCTTCACAAGGCATGATGGGTTATTCTGCTTTCCCGGCAATTACGGTGGTCAGAAGAAGGGCTCGGGCCCCTCTGTAAGCCTCTGTGCTTAGGAGAAGACAGCTCTGCTCCCCAGTCAGGCCAAAGAGGGCTACCAGTGGCAGGGCCTGTTCCTTGAGGTGGCTTCACCCCTGCTTCTGGCCGCTCCCACTCTGCTCTGTAACTCACTGTGTAGCCCAGGCTAACCTCAAAGAGAAAAGCCTTTCTCTTTCTAATTTGGGGTTCACAGAGAAATTTCTGCCTAGAACTTCTAGAAGTGGAATGGTTTTCCTAGCCAGGTGTGGTGGTGCACCCCTGTAATCTCAGCAGCTGGGAGACGGAAGCAGGAGAGTTGGGTCACCCTCAACTACATGGTGGCCTTTTCCTTCTTTCCTGGGGGAAACTCGGAGTCTCCTCTCCATAATGTGGAGAGAGAGCCTGGTGTCGATGGTGCATGCCTTTAATCCCAGCGCTCAGGAAGCAGAGGCAGGAGGAACTCTGTGAGTTCGAGGCCAGCCTGGTCTACAGAGAGAGTTCCTGAACAACCAGTGCTACACAGAGAAACTGTCTACACACACACACACACACACACACACACACACACACACCACAGACAAAAGAGAGAGAGATTAAAATGTATTTCCTTTTATGGAGGTTAAGAATAAAGTCAAATAAAGGGGGATGGTAGAAGCAGAAAAGCCATCCTGGCAAGGAGAGGAGAGGTGGAGAAATTCTTAAGCCCAGGAGGAAAAGCTCAGGTGATTATTTTCCGAGCTAGTAGCCCATCCGAGCTGCAGGACCTCATCCATCACGTTAATAGTCTAGCACTGGATGCTTTCTTTTCCTCTCCGTGCTCTCCCTGTCTTCCCCCCTGAGGCTAGCCCTCACCCCTGCCTCCCCCCACCCCAGTCTTCTGAATCCCTTCCTGGGGTGAAGCTAATGGCCCATCCTACTGTTAACTGTCAAGATTACAGTTCACTCTGAGCACCCAGGGCATGACACATAGGCACTTTAGTCTCCGTCCTGATCAATAACTCTCAACAAAACATTCAACCAGATAAACAAATGGCTGCTGGGGTGGGAGGTGTGCATGCGTGGCCAAGGCTCGGTGCAGCTTTTGTGTCATAAGCTGGAGGGACTTTGTAGTTTCTAAACAAGAACTGTTTTAGAGACAGTGTTTCTTTGTGTAGCCCTGGCTGTCCTGGAACTCTCTCTGTAGACCAGGCTGGTCTCAATCCCACAGAGATCCACCTGCCTCTGCCTCCTGAGTTCTGGGACTAAAAGTCTGTGCCACCACCACCTGGTGACAGGATTCTTACGGAAAACCCATAAGTACAAAGGAGAACACATAACTGAAGGTTTGGTGACAATGCCTTTTTCTACGGTAGAGAATGGTCCAAGATATTTATTTAGCTTGGTCAACAAGATTCCAAGGACATTGCCTGTTTTCGGCAAAAGCAAACCACAAAGTCAGGAATCTAGTCTTAGATAATGAAATATTGAATAAGGATGAAAAATGATGCTAAGTTGAAATAAAGCATTGAATAGGCAATTTAGACACTGCAAAATATTAGGCTAACAAACTAAGGAAGCAAAAGACAGATAAATATAAGAGACTAAATAAAAAAATATAACAAATAGGGCAGAGTTCATCGTGAATAAAGAGGGAGAAAGGGAGAGGGGGAGGGGAGAGAGGAAGAGAGAGAGATATGGAGGCAGGAAGGGAGGGAGAAAGGGAGGGAGGGAGGGAGGACACTAACCACCAAGGAACTCTCTAGGGAAAGGCTTTATGTTTTGCGCCACACCCCTCTGGAAATGGAGAGCTCCACAAGCTCCCTGGATGGTCCTAGTTTGTGTTTCTGCTCCGCATTCTTACCCTTGTGTCCTCAGCCTCAGCCGCAGGATTTCTGCTTCTTCTGGCGTTTGAATCCTCTACAGCTGTGATGAACAGATTAACTTCTGTCTCCCAGAATTTACCTTCAGTTGCCAACTGTGCAGGAGTGCGAGTTGGGAGGAGACTGAAATTGAGTCCCGGAATGTGGTGGGTGGGCGACCTGTCCCTCCCCTGCCTCGCCCCGTTTCCTCCTGGTTTTCTTGGCCTTCCTTTCTCTTTACCTCTCATCTTCTGTTTCTCTCTCGAGCTTTTTTCCTCTTGAACTGACCGAGATATGAGACTAAACTGTAGTTTATAGTATTTTAAAAACGTTTCAGGGGCTAAGTCGTTTTTCATCAGAGAAAAATGACCGAGGTCTGTTCCTAAAATTGATTTCGCCTCTGAGCTCAGAGATGTTTGGTAGAAGCACGGCTTTCCCTGTGAGGCTCGCGCTCGCCCAGGGCAGTGAGACAGCTGAGCACATACGGAAGGTGTGCAGGTGTCCGAGGGGAGCTAAGGGAGGATCGGATGGTGGCTGCCGGGAGGTGAGTCCTGGGCTAGCCAGAGCCTTCAGAGCAGCAGTGACCCGGAAGGGTCTCTAGGCGGCGCTGGAGAGCAGGATGAAGCGACTGTAGGCAAGGGAACCAAGAAGCTTGTACACAGCCGTCAGGAAATGCCTGGGTGTATCTGATGCCAAGCGCTGAGGTCATCGCCAGCCTCCAGCCAGCCCCTGCTTTTGTGACCTGAGTAGGACCCATCCCCCCACCCTTCCATTCCATTCCGAAAGGCAAAATTCCGAGGACATTTTCTCTTTCGGCCCCGTGTCCATGACACACTTAGGACTTGTCCCCTTTATCTCAGGCCCACAAGACTAGAGAACTGTAAAGAAAAAGCATCCTTCATATATTCAGATGTCCTCTGGTTACATCTTAGCTGGTAGGACAGGCAGTGACATACAGGATCCTTCCCCTCTTTAAGTCGGAGGGAAGCAGACATAAGAGGAATTAAAATGTGTGTGCCGAAGGCTTTGGAAGCTGCCCCAGACTTTGCTAGAGCTTGCAGCTCCTTCACAACAAATGGGCATTGGATGTCAGTTCTGAGACAAATGCAGCAAGGAGACAGAGAGAAGACAGAAAATGAGGACGAGCTCCCAGGAGCAGGAAGAACCCCAAAGGAGGAGTAGCCAGATCTTACTCTTCTCCCTTCATTACATTTAGAAATACTTTTATTTGTGTGTATGCATGTGCGTATGTGTACATGTGTACACCATGGTGCATGGATGGAGGTCAGATGACAACTGCAAGAGGAATTGATTCTCTCCTTTCACTATAGGGGTTCCTGGGATTGAATTCAAGTCACCAGGCTTAGCAGCAAGCACCCTTACCCACTGTGCCATCTTGCCAGCCCACTTTTTGCTATTTTTAAATTAATTGTATTTTATTAGGTTTTTTTTTATATGTATGTCATTGCAGCATGTGCATTCTTGGTCCCCACAGAGGCCAAAAGAGGGTTCCAGATTCCTCTGGAAGTGAAATTACAGACAATTGTAAGCCAGCATGTGGAAGCTAAGAACCAAACTAGGGTCCTCTAGAAGAGCAGACTGTGCTTTTAACCATTGAGGCATATCTCCAGCCTCTCTGCTACTCTTGAAATGGAAATAAGATGAGAAGTCAGAGGCTAGAGAGGCAGCTCTGTGGCTTCTAGAAGCATGGGGTGGCCTGATGCCATGAGGATTCCCACTGGTACTAGTTTCCTGTGGCTGCTGTAATACTGCTAATGGCTTTAAACCAAACAAATATCTTAGGGTTTCTATTGCTGTGAAAAGACACCATGACCACAGCAACTCTCATAAAAAAAAAAAAAAAAAAAAAAAAAAAAAAAAAAACATTTAATTGGGATGGTTCCTTTACCCTTTAGGAGGTTTAGTCCTTTATCATCATGGTGGGGAGCATGGCATCATGCAGGTAGACATGGTGCTCGAGCTGAAAGTTCTGTATCATGAGTCGGGCAATAGGAAGTTGACTGGCTGTCACATTGGGTAAAGCTTGAGAAAAAAAGACCTCAAAGCCTGCCCCCACCTCAAACAAGGTCATACTTTCTAATCAAGCCGCTCCCTTTGGGACCATTTTCTTTCAAACCACCACAGTCTTGCCATTCTGTGGGGCAGATATCTGAAATGAGTCTTTTGACTGGAATCAACTATTTGTAGATTTGCATTTATTCTTATTCAGAAAAGGGGAGAAAAAATTTCTTGGGTTTTCCAGCTTCTAGAAGGCCCCTGCCTTCTTTAGCTCATGTTTCCCTCCCCTTTCTGACCCAGCAGAGGGGCACATTCATGGCCATCCCTCCTCTCTCTTTACCCTCATTGTCTTCTCTGGCTCTCCTCCTCTCTGATAAAAACTCTTGTAATGACAATAATTCAGAATAACCCTTCCATCCCCAAACCTTAACATTACCATCACAAAATTCCATTTGCCGACTGGTGATGGTGGCGGCATACATACACCTTTAATCCCAGGACTCAGGAGGCAGAGGCAGGCAGATCTCTGTGAGTCTGAGGCCAGCCTGGTCTACAGAGTGAGTTCCAGGACAACCTCCAAAGCTTCAGAGAAAAACCCTGTCTTGAAAAAGCCAAAAAAAAAAAAAAAATCCATTTGCCATCTTAGATAACAGTTAACCAGTTCCAAGGACTCAGAGACAAGAGATGTGAGGAGCCATAACACATTCTATAGCATCCACATCATCCAGAGGCTAGAAAAAAAAAATGAAGGTTCTTTGGAGGAAGTACCTTGATCCTTGAGGCTTCATTATAGATATTTCAGAAAACATAAAGAAAGAGTCAAGTCTTGAGGACCAGGACCTTTAGAAAGAAGGAACTAAAAGGATTGGAGGGCTTTGGGCAAAGGGTGTCTTGGGCTCCACCAGCTTAGGGGAGATGAACCCAAGACTGTGGCCTTATGCCTATATTGAGCCAGTCCTTGACAGCTGTGTGGATATGGCTCCAGCAGACTCCTGTCTAAGAATGTTCTAGGTACTTCTGTTACTATGAAAGTTGGCCAGCCTATGCATCTACCGATTGCTCCCGGATGGACAGTTTTGGTACCCCCAACATTCTGTCTCTTCATCAGTTACATGAGAATCCAAAGTGTGATAGTTCTGATTATATCTGTCGAAAGTAATGTGCAACCTTGGAAAAGTCACCCTCACTTTCCCTGTTAGAAAATATGGTCATGTGTCAGACCTGACATTCTGTTGTTATTGAGAGCTGTTGGTTTTAATTTGCTCTTTGGTCATTAATTTGGGTTAGAATGCCTCCAACAAGGAACTGGGCTCTCAATAACTGGAAACACATTGCTCCTCAGCAACTGAAAGATGACAGGGAATAACTACATACAATTAGACAGCTTCATAGGCACGTTCCTGTTTAAAAAGCTCCCCAAAAAAGAGTTTTAGAACCCTGTTTGAGACATGTCTTTGCATCAATTTCCTGTGATGCTTTGACACAGAGAGGCTGTTCTGTATCATGTCCTGTCTTATTCTTGGGCATTTTTAAAGGATGAAACCTTAGCATTCTACATGTTTTCTGTCATGACTGCCTATGAACACTTCAGAGCAAATGACAGTGTAAGGAGTAAATAGCTTGTGCATATGTGTATTGGTAACAATGTCTGTCGTTCCTTGGTATTTATGAGGAAGAGCAAGGGAAGTATTTCTGGGTGTGTAATTAAATAAATAACATGTGTTCTTTTGACTAACAGCTGAAGCAATGGAAGGCATTTGAAGGAGAAAACCAAACAGTCAGACGCATGGCCAAATATTTCAGCACCCCTAGCAAAAGCTTCCATAGCCAGCTCGATGAGGACCCAAACTGCCACTTGAGGGATGAGAAGAGCTGCATGGAGAGGCTCCTCACAGAAGTAAGCTCCACGTTGCCCAGCAGCCTCCCTGTGAGGAGCCCTAGCCTTGTGGGAGCAACCCCACATGCCCTCATGGCCCAGCATGCCCTCAGGGCCCCTCATGTTCTCATGGCCCCACATGTTCTCACTGCCAACATCCTCTGCCCCAATCATTCCTCTACTTTCCTCAACAGCATCACCCCAGTGACCCTCACCCATCTCTCTCATGTAACAGACAGGTGTTGATGAACAGGACAAACTTGGTTCCTGACCTTATGGAGTTCACAGTCAAGTGGAACACATGGATATTGGTTAAGTAAACATTTAATCATAAACCGTGATAGGAGAGCCTGGAGATGAATGCTTGTCTAGCACACACAAAGGCCTGGCTTTCATCCCATGTCTACTAAACGGGGTGTGGTGGCATTCAGGTAGTGAAGGCAAGAAAATCAGAAGTTCAAGGTCATCCTCAGATTGCATAGGGAGTTCAAGGTCAGTCTGGGCTCCATGAGACTCTAGCTCCAGAACCAAAAAGGAAAAATCTGAAATTGTGATGATAATCATGAAAGAAACAATCAGAATAATAAATGAGAATAATGGGTTGGGAAAGGAGGAAAAGGAACCCAGATGATTAGTCAGGAAAGACTCTGAATGAGGACTAGTGATAGAGAACAAATGGCCAGGGGAAGAATTAAAAACAAAAAATCCATGCTGAGGGAACAACGTAGGAAAGACCCTGAGCTCTGGGAGACATTAGGACCCCGTGAACACTCTTTACATACAGCCACACCATTGTGTCCTGGGCCTGATGGGGCCTCTCTGCGACACCTCAGCCTTCTCAGTGCCCAGCATTCTCAGATGTGTCTACAGGTGTGGGTGGCGGTGAACAAGGGTCTCTGAATGTCACCAAAGCATCAAGGCAGCTTGGGTGCCCCAGCCCTTCTTTATTCTGCATTTAAACCAGAATCAGCCCTTCTCCCAGACAAGCATAATGTGGGCTTGAAAAACCTGAGGACTATGCTCCATGAGAAGACAGCACAGGGCCCTGGTAAATGGATTAGTAAGTATTTTGACACAGATTAAATCAAATTACATACATATGCACTCCTGCACATGCGCGTATACACACACACACACACACACACACACACCCCTGAGTTTGTGCTATTAGGGAAACCAAACTTGTTTTTGATAAAGGGACTGTGTCCTGAACATGAACAACCCTATGAGAGGACAATGTGGGAAGAACCTAAGACACACCCAGATGAAGGGCCAAGCCTGGCCGGCACCTCTGGGCCCTGCTTCTCTGGCCTCCCACAATATACCCCCCCCGGGTCTTCTTTATCCATAAGAGAGACCTCTCCCTTTCTTTACTATTTATTAAACATTCTGGGCATTATTTCACAGCCAGATTTCTCTCCACCTGGTAGGGCAGGAACCCTGGCCCTGGTGCTCTGTAAAGTCTTTAGAGAAATGTTTTTGCCTGATAAACAGAGTGCCTGAGACTTGGCTAGACTCAGCAGGATGGTTTTCATTTACAATCTACCAACACTGGAACAGCCAAATGGACTGGAACGGACTCTTTAGCCTTATGGTAATTTCTCGAGTAGCTTATTGTACTTCTGCCATACTATCCTGTTTCCCACGCAGTGGCTGAATGTGCTCTTTCCAAAAGAAACCTTGAGTCTACAGGGCAAGAGCCCTTAGCAAGCTCAAGTACATAAGTAGCCAAAAGCTGCCTCTGTTTCGGTGGTTGTGCTTAAGCATCTTCTGTAGTGCAAGCCTGAGAGCCAGCAGCCAGTCCTGGAGACCTGGAGGCCAGGATGGTTTGCTCTGCAACCTGGGTGCCAGCCCTACTCCTTCCTTACATCAGACAGCGCCTGTCCAGCCAGGGTGAGCTCACTGCACCTGCTTTGCCGTTCCCATTATCTGACAGCCCAGCTTCTCATTTGCATCTTGTGCTTTTAATTGTTTTCAATTAATTTTCAATATTGCCTCAGTTCCTCAAGTACTAGGGTTACAGGCATGCACCATCACAACCAGCCCTTCTCATCCATGACCTCTAGCCACTTGTCTAGTACCAGTGTGCCTGAGAGCAGCGGACAGACCGTCCCCTTTATGCTTATGCTGACGACCCTCCCTTTTCTTCCTGGTAGTAGAGAAGTGATATGTGCATTCCTAGGGCCCATGCCCTCTTCCGTATACCTTTGACATTTTGCTCCCTGCCATGGACCAAACTAATGATTTTTAAAATGAGGTCAGATTTTGGAACTCACTGTGGCAGGACCTCACATCATGCCTCTAATTAACACAGAGCCATGGTGAGAACGGAGATTTGCTTCCTTTTGTGGAAGAAGGGAAATTGACTGTTTACACTGATGTTTCTAAATCTGTAGTGAGCCAGCTTCAGACATTTGGTTAGCTTGGAGGAGGGCCTTCTTCCCATCTGGAGGTTCTTAGGAGTTTCCCATACTCAAAGCCATTTGTAGACAAGGCACAAGGAAACAGAAGTCCTGTCTTACCCCTAGAGTGTGGTCATCAGCTATGGCTTCTTCCTGCGTGCTGAGGCTGGTATGAGGACATGTGGGGTGGGTTTAAGGAACGAGATGCTGTGGGAGGGAGAAGGGGACCAAGTCCCTATTGAGCAGCCACCATGGTTACATTGTGAGGTCCTTAGAGACATCTGACACCTCCCATATAGCACAAGGAGCTCTGTCACTCATGGGCTCTGTTATAGGTGGTCTCTGCTCACCAACCACAGCCAGACTCACCACTCTTCAGAAGGAGGAGGGAGGCCTGGCAGGTGGGAACTCCCCTGAAAGTCCCTTCTGCCTGTTTCCCCAGCCTCTCACTGGGCGTGGCCCCTCTTCTGGTGGCAAGAAAGCTGACAACACCATCAATCAGGAAGCCAGGAGAGCCAGCACCAGTAAATGCCACCTCCTGGTTTTGCCCAGGGACAGGCGGCTTACAGGACCACTGGGAGCTTATTGGAAGGGTTTACTCAATGCACTGGCCCCTTAAGTGGTCATTGCTGACCGAGAGTGGTGGCACATACCCCTAATCTTTATGTTTGGGATATCAAAGCAGAGGGACTGCCATGAATCTGAGGCCAGCTTGGGATACATAGCGAGTTTTAGGCCAGCTGAGATACCCTGTCTCAAAACCCAAAAGAATCATTTCTGAACAACTTTTCCATGTAATTTGATAGGCAAGCCTAGGCTCTGTCCATGGGCAGACTGGGTTGCCTATTTTTGTAAGACAGAGTCCATTCTTTTGTTTCTAGAGCATGATAAAGGGATGTCCCAGCACTGGTCCTTGGCTCCTGAAAAGGAAGGCAGCCACGAGGGCAACACTGTGTTATCCAGCCAGATCTTGCTGGCACCCAGTACTTGCCATACTGTCTTCCCCACACTTCATCCACCCCAGACCATCAAGTTCCTGAGACTCTTCAATGCCCCTCTGTCTTGAGCATAGAACTCTCTTGAGCTAAAACAGCCTGAGCTAGATGGCTTACTGCTGCACTCCACTAAGGCAAGAGTGCGGGCATGCCCAGACACCCACCACCAGCTCACACCCATATCTACTTCCTGCCTCACAGCTTGCAGTTAGGATGGGCACACTTTTGCAGCTGTCACCTGTCTGCCCTCTGGGCACAGCCTGTTTATGCACTAACATCTGCACAGGAGGACAGTATCTTGATGGCGGAACTGCCCTACCCTCCTTCATCTTCTGGGCTGCACTCTAGAGCTACTTAGTCAAGTAAGTCCCACCTCCAAGCAAATCATTCTTTTCTTATTTTATCACATATTAATTAATGGAAATTAATGGAACTCACTGTAACATTTCTGGCTACTTTAAGAGCTATTAACAGGCAGTTAGACACTTAGGCCTATCACACCAGGAGACCCTGCCACTTCCAAGGAAGTGTTGAAAGCAACTTGAGATTCTCATTGGCTCTCTTAGCTCCCGTATGAATGGTTGTCCCAGGAATTCCCACCTATTTCCTCATTCTTCCCATTCTCCAGGCTGTTTCATAAGAGACATAACATTTGTCTTCTCGTTTATCATCTCTAGAGATATGCTTCAGATTCATTTGTGGTTTCCACGGGTGTAAGAAACCAGAGTGGAACAATCCCAAACACTATTCTGTCTGGTGTCCTACAGAGTAACCTGATTCTCTTGGGGCTGGAGAAAATGAGATAATGGTGCAGCTACCAGCAAGCCTTGAGGTGAGGCCCTCTTCATCCTCACAGACAGCAGCAGCACATAGTCTAGGGCCGGAAAGGGAGCCCATAGGGACAATAGTTCTTACAGCCTTTCCTGGGCACCACTGTGCTAAAAATTTGCATGCATTATTTCACCCACTTTAAGTCCCACCTCCATCCAAGCTTAAGGTCACTGACCAGTATATTGGAAGAACCTGGATCCGAGCAGGATCTCCAGCACATATCCCACCATGGAAGGCCTTTCTTTAGAAGCATCTTTCATTGATGGTCTTGCTTTTATTCCCCAGAAAAACGCGGTAATCGAGAGCCTGCAAGAACAAGTCAATAACGCCAAGGAGAAGCTAGTGAAGCTGATGTCTTCCGAGTGGGCTGACCCAGCTGCAGCCTCTGCGCATGTGCTGGCAGTTCAAGGACCTTCAGAACACCCTGCTGCTTCTGAGAATGTTATCGATGCAGCTGCCCAGGACCCCCTATGCGCCTCAGTGACCTCCCAGCACATGCAAAGCCCTGGGGCATCTCGAAGGGACACCAGTCCCTCCCCTGACCAAAAGGACAATGTGACTTTGAAACAGTTTTTTGATCATTTGGACATGGGTTGCAGCCGAGAGCCACATACTGAACAATGTGAGGGTTCAGAAAGAGGAGACCAGGGACCCGTGGCCACCAGCCAGAGTTTCATGCCAGATGGAATGGGCGGTGAACCCCAAAGGCCCAAGCAGAACTCAGAGGAACTCCCAGAGAGGCCACCCCGCGTCAGTTCAGTGGTCAGAGAGAAGCTTCAGGAAGTCCTTCAAGAGCTGGACCTGGGCCCCGAGGCTCCCCTTTCCCCACTACCTTGTTCCCAGCAGCTTTGGAAGAGCACCACTTCCCGCAGTCCCCAGAAGCTGTCCCCGTCTAAACTGGGTTTCAGCCCATATGTGGTGAGGAGAAGACGGGCAGCCCAGCGGGCTCGCTCCCACCTCACTGCCTCTGTGGCCCTCAATATGGGGCATCCGGCAAACAGGACTGTTTCTGGTGTGCAAAGTGGGCTGGCTGTGCAGAGCCAGGACAGCTCCAAGCTGGACCACCAAAATGCAAGGTCCAAGGTACCAAGGTCCTCTTCTGTAAAACCATCACCACTCGCAGATCCTCACCGGAGACGGAGTACCCTGGAGGGTAACAAACCATGCCACACAGAGCCTCAGGGGTCCAGAGGATGCGATGTAAGCGTTCCTTGCCAACCTCCTGCTTCTGCCCGGGCACAAAGTCTCACTGCCCCATGCCTACCCTCTTCACCAGGACTGCCCAAGCAGCGTCAGGCTCGACCCCTAGTGTCCCCTGGCTGTCCTTCCTTGTCTTCTGGGTGCTGCAACCTTGATAGTGAGTCCAGTAGCTCAGATGAATTTTACTGCCGCTGCCACCGGCCCTACTGTGAAATCTGCTTCCAGACCTCTTCCGACTCCAGTGAGAGTGACACATCAGACAGTGACCTTGAGCAAGCATCAGAACTAGTCTCCTGGGAAAAGCTGTGGGCCCGCTCTAAGCCTGTTGTGAACTTCAAAGATGACTTGAAGCCCACACTAGTGTGAAAGGCAGCGAGATGGGGCTGGCCACAGAGGTCAGTCTGGCTCACACAGAAACAGGGAGGAGAGCCAGAGCTCTGTCTTTGAGGACCAGCCCAGCAGCATGTCTTGACCAGCGTCTACTCTGTTTCTACTGTGTTCATTCTTACTTTGAAGATGTCTTGACCTATGAACAGAAGGGCATTGCACATCCTGTTACTACCTCAGCGTTACTGTGAGGAGCTCTGGTGAGGAACTGTAGAACTCCTTAAATTGAAGGTGCTAAGTAAGCAGATGGAGTTGTCCATTCAGCTCAGCCTGTAGTCTATGAAACTTTGGAGGTATGCCAAGTGGTGATGTGGCTAGCTGGACAGTAAGATGGGGAGAAGGTTGGGAGATTTCTGCAGAACCACTGTGACCCAGCAAACTAACCTTTCAGTGAACAGACCTGCCAGGTACATAAGCCTACACTGTTATCCCTCCAGCTCATAGAAGGGCTGACTTGCTTCCTGATGAAGGCTGTAAGTAGCACTGTTTCAGGCTGCCAGCTTCTTCCAGTTCAAGTCAGTTCAGTATTTCCTACCCCACTTCTTGTCCACCCACCATCACAGAACCTCCCTCACCGTGATCTCCAACACAGTTCCCTAGCCCACAGGAGGCTTCTCAGGTTGCTTTCCTGGGCTCAGTTGTACCTGTCCCTTGCTCTCCCCCAGTGGCACACTTGAACACATAGCAGCAGTCTGTGTTGGGAGATTTACTGGTCAAGAAGTAGTTTTAGTGCTATTGAGATTAGGTGACCACCAAAGATATGGAAACCTAGAAACAAAATGGGGAAATAGAAAAGATGGGGAGGGCCAGGCATGGTGTTTAATCCCAGCACTCGGGGAGGCAGAGGCAGGTGAATTTCTGTGAGTTTGAGGCCAGCTTGATTTACAGAGTGAGTTCCAAGACAAGCAGGGCTATGTAGAGAGACCCTGCTAAAAGTAAAAAGGGAAAGGAAAGGAAAGGAAGGAAGAAAACAGGCTGTGAACAGGTTCACCTAAGACTGGCTTGGTACTTGGCAAATAGCAAATTTTAGTAGTTCCTAACGATAACCCTTTAAATTATTCCTGCAGCTAGGGGCCATGGGGCTTGGAGAAGAGAGATGACTAGCCCAGCAACATAATGCTGGAGAGTGACTGGTGGAGAATTTGCATACACAGCTGTTGTTGATGGGTTTCCCTGGGACATATCCCTATTCATTCTTCTGGAAGTGGCAGGCAAGATTTAGGAGAAAGCTAAAGGGGGGCAGAGTGAGCTTTGAAAATGTGCTCACCCTGCCAGTCCCGGAGGACAAAACCAAGGTCCTCACCACCTCTTCCCACTGCTGGGGCACACCTGCAATTCCAGGGGAGCCGTGGAGTTGGTAAAGAGTGAGCTCCAGAACCCCCCCTTCCCACTAAAGCTATGGGAAGGCAAGCGGGTCGACTTTGAGTGTTGCTTAACCCGCCATCTCCTGTCTGTGCTGCCGTATGGCATCTGTGTTGCTTGTGAGTTTTGTGAGGGAGTTTGGGTTTCGGGGAAGACATTTGACACTAAACATCTCACAGATGTATCACGGACTCTCAGCATCTGCCGACACCTCGTGAGCCTCCAGGCACTTAGCCATGGAGGCCCCGTTGGCAGGACAGCATTTTCTATTTCATAATTTATTCTGTGTAGGAGATTGTAGTTTCCATGTGTGTTGTTTGTATAATGGCCAAGCACACTTTAATAAAAGAGGAATGGCCCTTAAAATAAGTCTCTTCTAAAGCTGTCGTCTTGCATTGGGGTGGACGAGACTGGGGAAGATGGTAAAATACACAGAGTGCTGTTGGGCTCTGATAGTTTCATGCGCAACTTCTTGCAAACTTCTATTTGTAATAGACTCTCTGATGATCTCCCTGTACAGGCCCTTATCCCAAAAGCATCCCCTTGAGTGGGTGAAGGAAACAGTGAAGACTCCCAGAGCCTCCTCCCAAACAGTGGGGTCTCTGACTGAGCTTCTCCTTAACTCCTCTCCTCCCAATATTTGATCACTAGCAGCCTTCTGTTCCTTCTGTTGGACCTGAGGATTCATAACCAAGCACACCAGCCTTCTCATTCTGCTTCTAGAGCCTGAACCTCACTAGTCTAGCCCTTTCACAGCCCCATCCTTTTCTGAAGTCCCCCTACCTATCCACTATATGTGCTGGGGGAATAGTTTGCCTTTCTAGGCTTAAGTGCAATGCATTCTTTCTTTGGCTTTTCCTGAGTATGCCTAAATGGAACTGACTGGTTCTCTACTTAAATGGAAAGAGAGTTTTCTAGTCTGTGTATGGGTCTTGCTTATAGAGACTTCAATTAATAGAGACTTCATTTTGCCTAGGATGACTTTGTAAACTATACTAGACCTGACTGAAAAGGTGAAATGTCAATGCTAAATGTTCCCTATTTAGAATTTCATTCAAATACTATATGCAAAGCACTATGGCAGCCTATTCAGAAATACTGCTTCCACACCAACTATTCACCCTATGTACCCCAACCTCTTTTCCTCACCCCCCAGAGTCCCTGAAGTTTCTACCCAAGAACAGTCAATTGGTAATGGGATCTGTCGAGGGATGCATGTGCTGTTGCTACTCTTGGCAAGTTCTTGGTTACTTTCTTGAAGAAGAGGCAGTAAGTTATACAGAGGAATCCTTTAGAAGTCAACATCACCCCTGCTGATGTCATCACACCATGTAACTGTTGATCCTAAGGCCAGGCATAGCACCAGGCCCACCTTGGCCCCCATAATAAGCTTTCTACTGTGAAAATCTTTGGACTGAAGGCGTCTTTCTTCACAACAAAAATCTGCCTTATCTCCCAAGCCTCCTCTTTCCTTAAAGGATCAATTTGGACTCCTCTGAGTCCAAGGAAGAGAAATAAAGGCATCCCATGTAGAAGGCATAGCTTTTCAGAACTTAAAACAAACAAACAAACAAACAAACAAACAAAAAACCCCAAACTTTTTTGAAGAAATGGTTATGTGTATATGAGTGTTTTGCCTGCCGGTGTGTTTATGTACTACATACATGCAGTGTACACGGAGGCCAGAAGAGGGCATTAGACCCCTGGAACTGGAGTTACAGACAGTTGTGAGCCTCTAGGTGGGTGCTGAGAATTCCCTACAAGAGCTGTTAACCACCGAGCCATCTCTCTCATGACTTTTAAAAAAAAACAACATCACTTCCAAAGTGGCACAAAGCTCCATTTACATGTGTTCCCTCCATGGATTACAAGTGTCCAAAAAGCACTGAGCATATCTTCCTTCTGTTTGTCCCATCTCGACTGTAGACCTTAGAGAGCTTTGCCCAGGGGAGAACCCAATAAGTGGCTGCTGGGCAGCTTTAAGAGGGAGCAGATGGGGAAAGCAAGGGGCAGCAAGGTAGCAAAGGCAGAATGAAGACCTTGCTCTGGGTCAAGAGCAGAGCCAGAAAGGGAGACAGCCATCTGGCTTAGCTGCCTCCAAACACATTAAGAGCATGAAATAACATTACTCCCAGTCCCAGAAGTAACTGAAATCTGAAACTGACAGACTTTAAGTATCTTAGGAAGGGGTGGGAGAAGATAATGGAGTTACTGGGAAAGAAGCAAGAAAGCTCTTTTGAGCAAAATCTTCTCTTGGAGATTCTTGCTTCCTAGACTTGTTCCTGGAACCAGACAGTGTCTTCAGGACATTCGTTGACCTGAAGAGAATATGGCCATCTACATGGACCTGCTCCAGACAGCACTCCCTTGCCCACAGGCCTGCTTTCCCTAGCCTCTGGCACTGCACCTACACTGATCTCTCTGGATTTACCCCGATCTCAGCATCCTCCTCAGACAGCTGAACTTGAAGAGGGAAACATCCTGAGATATGTCCACTTCACAATTGAAGTGGTGGACAACAGGAAATACCAACGTCGTAGGTCAAAATACCTCTTGAGTTTCCCAAATCTGGGCCAGGGTTTCCCGAGGCATGTGGTCTGGAGAAACTGCTTGGGGAAGGTCCTGTGGAGGCCTGTAGGGAAGTAGGAGAAAAGCAAGGAGAAAAAAAAAAAAAAAAAGAAATCCAAAGAGCAGAGAGAGGCAAAAGGGAGACATGGTTAAGGAGGAAAAGAGCAAGAATGGAGGCTGTAGGCTTGGCTTGCTCTTGCTCGGTAGATAGCTCCTGGCAATCACCCCGTCTCTAAACAAGTATGCTGGTTCAGCTCCAGTGGAGATGCAGAAGGCTGATTTTTGGGAAGCAAGGCTGAAATGCCCTTGTTCTGTCCTTTCTTCAGCCAAGGGAGGATGTGATCATCTGTTTATTTCTCCATTTCCCACTCCAGTCTATGAGCATCGCAAGGCTGGAGCATGTTGTCTCTGTGGCTCCCAGGCTCAGCACCCACTGTTTCTTCCACAGGGTTGCTGCTCTGCAAATATTTGTCAAAAGAAATAATTCAAGGAAGGAAAGTGACACAGAACAGTGACACCAGCAAGGCAGCTCAGAGAGGTCACCTGGGAGACAGGACTCAGTTGCCCAACCACAGTCCCTACCCACCAAACTCACTGCCTCCCTTTCTCCCAGGTAACCGGTCCCCTACAACCCCAGAGATATATATATATACCCCACCTCCAGCTTCTCTGCTTCGGAATAAACCATTTCCCTTTTCATCCATAGACTGGCTACTTGGGTTTCTTTACTGTGCCCATTTCATTCAGTAAACATGGGTTTTAAGGAAAAGGCAAGACTTTCTGAAGAGAGGGCTGTTTGCCCACTGCTTCCAACTTTAGTGTACATGCTGATCTAAGAGTACCAGTCAGATTACTGCGGACTTTCTGGAAGAGAGATGTGTGTGTGTGTGTGTGTGTGTGTGTGTGTGTGTGTGTGTGTGTGTTTAGAAAACACTCCTTTATATCCAGAAGCCCTCTTTCCCTTGCTTTACACTTAAGTTCCCTGTCAGTGTTTTTGGCTCGCTCGTTCCTGTATGAAGATGGCCTTTGGTTCAGCATACTTCGGAGGCTTTTAAGTCCAGTGTACTTCCCTTGGGGA